GATATCATTGATCATATGAAGCCAGGCATTTTTCATATTTTAAAACTCTTTGTCAGAACATTTACAACAGAACCAAATGGAAAATAGTAGACCTGATAAAATAATCTGAAAAATATAACCTATCCCACCCCCCAGCTGATGTGTGAACATTGATATACAAATAAAATAATATTTTGGCATAGTTTGTTATTTATGTTGATGGTTCATTTGCCATTTACTGGTGAATCCAATTTCCTAACTTGAAAAAAAAAATCCTTATTGCTCAGAAACATTTTATTCGCTGCAACGTCTTCCTAAGCAAATAACTTCAGCCTTCCAATCAGAGAGATTGGCATGTGTGGCCAATCACACAAATAACAAACTGAGTAAACAGTTTATAAACAATCAATGGACTTAAATTCTGACACTGTTGTCGAATACTTATGAATCATGAATACATTCAAAGAGGTTAAGATGGGTTGTTAGACTAGCCATTAACAATGAAGGGGCTGAATCAAGAGGCAACATTAACAACAAAGAGTTCAAGCATCTCTAATAACTAGGATTTACAGCCTTTATTTAATATTATTATGGGGCACAGAGAACCTTAAGCTGATTCGCATTCAATGCAGAGCAACTGTGGCAACTTGGGATAATGGTTGATGCATCAGGCTCTGCTTGAAAGGTCATTTTCTTGCTGTCTGCAAGTTGGCCTGATAAAATTCAGGACTTGGAAGTTGTTAAGATGATGGCACCAGTGCTATGTTGGTGGTGTGAAAGAAGTGCATTTGGTAATATGGAGACAATGGAAATTTGGTGTGCCTAGAAACTGTGCTGCTCAGCAGCAGGACTGAATGATCAAATGGCTTACGCTTCTGCACCATGTGACTAGAAATATTAAAATCAAGTTAACTTCTCTCTTGAATTAGGTGCCTTGATCTTGCATTGTTGCCTAGTTCTTCACCAGGAGCATACAACAACTGGACTGCAAGGATCAACATGTAAACAAAATAAATATTATGTATTTATCTTCTAAATACTTTTCATCTACAGATTTGGTTTCATTACAGGGGCACAAATCACTAGCTTGTGGTTACGCTCAATGAGATGTAGAAATAATAATAATGAAAAGAAAATGAAGCAATTATTTATGCCCAGTGCAGATGCAACACTGTTGATCTTTTACTCATGGTTAAGAGACTGGGAATAAGCTGCACATAAGATCACGCAGGAGTTATTTACTGAGCTAACCGTAACGCTAACACTAACCATGATTAACGCTCAACAGCTTTACCAGGGTTTGCCAGCTTATTGAAGCCTTGCTTCAAATCCTGATTAATGCTTAGTGAAGGCAAGCTTTTAACCATGCTTAGTACCACTGCAGATTATTTATTTATTATTCTCAAAAATATTTGACTTTCTATAGGAAACCAGCACATAAGCTGACACTACATAAAAACATGTTAATACAATTGCAGACAAAATGTAAGACTCTGAGATGAATTTAAAATAGGAACAAATAAACCAAAGCAGATGTAATGATAAATATAATTAAAGTTCAAAGGAGAAAGAGAGGAGAAAGAATGCCTGAGACAAAAGGAGACAGAGGAAAGAGAGGGTTAGATTCAGACCTGCTGTTCAACAAATCGAAGGCCTCCTTCTATTCACAAAAGCAAGTCAATTCCTGCAGAGGCTCCCGTAGGTGAGAGGAGGAAGATAACTTTTGATAGTTCCCCTCTCCCCCTCCATACCCATATCCATGCTGTTCCGGAGGATCCCCCCCAATCCTCTGGAGCAGATTCTGGAGAGCAAAGAAGGCTCCAGGAGGAAAGGAAATATTGAAAATCATGTTCCAGCTTCCACTTGTGGGAGCATCCATTTTGCATGGCTGACCCCTCCCCACCAGGGAAGGAGGGGTGAATGAAAACCTACATCAGGAACAGGACGGGGGAGGAATAAATATCTGCATTGGGATCTGCTGTCCATGTGGATCCTGCCGCCTGAGTCAGATGCCTCACCTTGCCTCATGGGTGGGCCGACCCTGCCAGTTTGTGCAATTCTGCTCTGCGCAAACCTGTATCCAACCCAAGGTATCTGTGCATGACCAACTTCCACTCTCTTAACCATGGTTAAGAAATCAGCACCATCATGTCTGCACTCTGCTTCAGACCCCAACACCCTTACATACTACATCTACCTAACCGAACAATGTATTTTTAAACCGCTGCTAACTCAATCATTTTCTTTCTAGACATACAGTGAGTTATAGGGTATGTGGATGCGTGGCTTCCTATACTATGGTTTAATCAATATTACCTGGTTGCATTTTGTTCTGGCATGCCTACCAGAGTTCTCAACTATAAAGATGTATTTGAAAACAGACGGAGAAAGGGAAAGCAAGAGGACTGTGCCAAGAGCCTGGTAATTTTTGGACCGGGTGCTCTTTTAGATTTTCGTTCCATAGTGTTATTGTTTCTGAATTAAAAACAAAAAACCCCAGACAGTGTGTTTGGCTTCTTTTCAGCATCTCCCCTATAACATTATTTTATTTGTCAACTGGCTGAATTTTTAAAGTGTTGTGTGCAAAGAGGCAGTGTTAGACTTCTCACAGTCCCTCTCCTCAGTGTGATCAGATGCCTCCTTCATTTCTGTGATTTAGTACACCTGTGTCATACACCTCGGTGTATTGTTCTGACACCTCCATGTGCATGATACACCTCATAATTTTGTGTTCACTATTCGTAGTTTGCCTACTCCCTGCCCTGAAGAATAAGCTGCCTTGGACAGGATGTTTGTCAAATGTTGCCAGAAGTCAGGACTACACCAGCTCCATAGATGCTTGGGTAGGATCATGGTGCTGGCGTACTGCTGGCTCCTTGAACATGGTTATCATGCTTCTAGTTTCTCAGTGAATGTAGGATACCATTTACAAGTTATTCGTGATATAAAAGCTACAGAAGAAACACCAAGGACAACTTAGTTCTAGGAAGTATATGGAAAGAGCACAGGCTACAGTACTTATAATAATCAGAGGTTTCAGCTACAAGAAACATATTTAAATTGATTCACTGAAAATAGTTATCTCTTTATGGCCATGTTGAGTCTTACCTGCCACTTGTATTGGCAGCTGATCCCTCCCCTGGGAAGTGCTGCTCTCAAAGAGTCCTTCCTTTTGAGATCCCACCAGATTTTTCATCTCCACTACTGGATTGCTTTCTTTTCCTTATATATTCTTTCCTTTCCCCCCATATGAACAGCTGGATTGCAGGAGTAGGTATGATCTTCTTTGTTGCCAGATAACTGGAAAGTTCTTTGGGTACAATTAAATACAGCTAGCAATGCAGCAGCCATAGTAGCACGCTTGAGAAAGTTCTTGGAGCCGTGAATTGTTCCTCTGCACTTAGGCCCATGTTTGCAGCATGCCCCTTCTTCTTACTGTTCAAGCTGCTTTAGATAGGATGAAAGTTTCTGAATACCTAAGACAGATACAGATAGAAACTGTGCCATGCACAATAGGTTACATCAAACTGGGTGCAACATCCATTGCACCTTCATACTGTGGCTTCAACTACATTATTAACTTCGAAAATGAACCATAACCACTATTTTTCATGTGTGTTGTTCTTCCTCCCAGTATACCCACCCAATGTACTAATGAAAGGACGATACATCACATGCTATGAGATCTATATAAAAGTAGAACTTGTGAAGCGTTCTAGCACATGTTCCTTTTCCCCACCAAAAGACACACAACTGACAACCTGAATCTTTAGGGGTTGCCGATCTCATGGCCTGGGAGCCATTCACAAAATGAAAAAGCTTCGTATAAATTCTACCATACAGTAGTGCAAAAATGCATATTCTGAAAGGTGTTGTGTGAATCTGCATTCAAGTTCTAGACCACATGTGTCTCATGTCAGTGTAAGATTGCAAAATCCCAAGCGAAGTGCAATTCAAGTGTGCTTTCTCCTTATTCAGAGCAATTAAAAAGAAAACTATTCCATGTTATCTAATATGTGTTTGAAAGAAGCTAAAACTTACAAAAGGTGCCTGCCTAAATATTAGAGCATAAATGTACATTAAAAAGTCATTTGTAAATTCTGTGCATATTTAGCTATCGATGGCTTTTGAAAGCACTCTTTTTGGCAGACATTGCAGATGCAAAGCAATAAACACGAGCGTGTACACTGCAGAAGAAGTACCGTTAAGTTGTCTCTCAACAGCTTTAGGAGGGAAAGGGAGAAAGGCATGGCGGGGGGGGGGGGAGGAGAAGAGGGCATATGGTGTGTGATAAAGGAATAATGTGGCGTGTTTCAACCAAAGTTAAGAATTTCAAGTCCAACTGATTTCAACTAGGAAACATATGCATGCTTCCTTAGAAGCAAATCCCACTAAGTTTACTTGAGCTGTGCACAGGACCACAATTTTAAACATGTACTCAGTTCACCCACTAAAATCAATAGGACTTAAAACTACTTTGCTGTGGCTGCTGGTATCCATGACATTTTAAATTTATGATAATTTAATATTGTTGATTTTGTGGGTGTTGCTAATTCTCATTAAGGCAAAGGAAACTTAAGAAATCTCTCACTCAACTGAAACATTTTCATGTTAATAATTTCAAATAATAATAATAATAATAATAATAATAAATTTTTTTATTTATATTCCGCCCTCCCCAGCCGAAGCTGGGCTCAGGGCGGCTAACAACAATAAAATAATACAACATTCTAAAATCAATTAATTATAAAATTAATTCAAATCAAATTTATGGCAACCATTGGGCAAGAGTTCTGTAAAGATTGCCAAAGGAGGGAGTCAGGCTGTGCTCTGGCCAAAGGCTTGGTGGAACAGCTCTGTCTTGCAGGCCCTGCAGAAAAATGTCAAGTCCCGCAGGGCCCTAGTCTCTTGTGGCAGAGCGTTCCACCAGATCGGAGCCACAGCCAAAAAAGCCCTGGCTCTGGTTGAGGCCAGCCTAACCTCCCTGTGGCCTGGGACCTCCAAGATGTTTTTGTTTGAAGACTTTAAGTTCTTCCGTGGGACATACCAGGAGAAGTGGTCCCGTAGGTATGAGGGATCATCAGAATATGGCTTCAAGATTAGCCAAAAAAACCCCATCAACAGTAATGGTACTTTGGAGTGATTATGGCCAGGAGCCAAATACATCTGTGCTGATGTGATTGAAGTGCTTCTGTAAACCCGTGAGATACTGCTGAGTTTTGCTTTCAGCTGCGGTCCTTTGCACTATGCTAGATACTGCATTGGACAATCGTCTAATCTTCCGAAGAGGCTGCTGTGAAATGTGGAAACCGGAAATCTTGGTGCACACAGGGAAACAAGGCAGAAATTTTGAATTTCAGCCCAATATAGTCACCCAATGTACTTAAGAGCAAGATATAAAAGTGACAGCTTCAAATGGAAACTCACTTCACTTGAAAGCGCTCCACACCTTGTCCAACATAGATCTATTCCATGTCTATATATACTTTAATTTAAAGTCTACATTGACAGGTAAATTGAGATAGTTTCTCAATGCATTGTGTACGTGTATTAGACATGGCATCTCTTAAACAGCTGACTAGCATTAAGATGTAATTTTAAAATTAAGAAAAAGGATTTTATAGCCTGATCTATAACCCAGTAAACCTTGAATATTTGCATATCAACCAGTATGGTTTCATTGACTAATTCAAAGACTGGAAAAGCACAAATTCAAGTGTTTAATCTTAGATTTGTTCCAGAAAAGGATAGTCATGAATAGGAAAAGCAAGGGGGGAAATGTTAGTGCTGTTTGAAATGTATGTAAGATTAACTTATTTGATTATAAAAAGAACAATTTTCCTCTTTTATTATTACATAAATTTTATTTGTTAACAAAGTTTAATAAAGCAAACTTAAAATAGTTACGGGTCAGACTGTTAATTACATTTGCTCACAAGAAATAACCACCGATACCATATTCAGTTTGTGGCTAATTTATTTAACATTTGCAAGCTTTTTACAGATGCCAAAAATGAATGCAATCGAATTATTCTTATTTTATATGACATTTTAAGACACAAAACACAGATGCTCTCCATATGTGAAATGTATAACATAAAAATGTTATCTCAGGGGAGTCTGATATTTTGTACATAGAAGTTCTGTAATTTACGAAAAGAATGCTACTAAAGATGAACTGATGGTATCAAGATAAAAGAATCTAAATCTGGAATCAGACATGACTCAAATTCAGACACAAATCAAACCATGATGTGACGCCTGAATTGACAACACACAGCCTGTGATTATCCAGCAAATCATATAAGAAACCATGGTATGAACTGGTCTTGCAAGCCATCGTTTCTGCTATTATGGTTTAGCATGATAGGAGGTCTTTCCTAGGGTGTGCACAATGCAGGACAAAGTATGTTGTTTAACCTCCATGACATTTTTATACAGGTGAAATTCAACTAAACCAGGAGGTAGAGAAACCACAATTGGATGTCTTGAGAAAACATCTGGAATACACCTAAAAGCTAGTGTGGTGTAGTGGTTAGTACCAGAGCAGAATCTGGAAGATTCAGGTTCAAATATCCACAGAGGAAAGAAGCTCACTGGGTGATATTTGGGCCAGTTAGTGCTTCTCAACCTAACCTATGTCACAGGGTTGCTGTGAAGGGAAGGGCAGGAATCATGTACTCTACCTTGGAGGAAAGGTGGGATACAAATGTAAAAAATAAATCAAATAAAGCTTTTAGACAGGTGCCTGAGTTTGAATCTAGAACTCTGTACAAAGCATTTCTAGGACATACACCTTAACCACTTACTCTATAAGATAGCTTTAGTAACAGCAAAATGTAGAATTGATATTCTCTTTTTACACCTTCATTATTCATACATTATAAATATAGCATGTGGCCTTATAAAACAGTTTCAACATACGAGATTTTAGTAAGAAATTCTGTCCAATTCCACCCCCACTCCAAGAAACAGAAAAGAGCAGAGTGCGCACTAGTAATAACTTTCACTATTAACTTTCACTATTAAGAGTAAAGGTCTTTAGTATAATGCCATTTATGTAGGATTACTCACAACAATATTTGGTTTTACGCAAGTAAATATTATTGAATTAGTTGAATTCAGGATTTGCGAGCCTCAAATGCAGTTTAAATAGGTGAATGTGGTTGCCTCACATTCTTGGAGTTCAACATGGGATGAGACGCAAAGTAAGTAGGGTAAAAAATAACAACACTCCCCCTACCCCGCGTGGGAGAGGGAAAATAATAACTTTTCTGTCATTGTTTATTTGAAATAGTTTTCTCTTAATGCAGGCATGCCCCTACCCCATGCCTGCCATTTCCTGGAGCCACAAAAGAGTAACTGAATGCATGGTTTCTGCCTAGCCACTGGCCCGCTATTTGTCCGTATACAGGACCTGTAGTCATGTGTGCTGTGTTAAGGTGTGGGCCCCTGAGAACACTGGACCTAGGCAGTCACCTATATTTGCTCCACATGGGAAGGAACTGACATGATGTAGCAGAACAAACAAAAGCAAACAAGCAGCTCTAACTCATGCTTTGTCTTTATATATGGAAGCTCAAACCATGGTTTGGGTTCTAAGCTACAATTAGTGCAAAGCATGCTTTGGTGTGAGGTCTGAATCAAGCCAAACTGTAAGATAAATGAAACTAAGACAGTGTATTGTAAAGTATGCAACCGTACAGCCTAACATAAGAAGTTGACAATTTCAGATTATGCAAGAGGGCTTCTAAAATGGATAGTCTGTTTAAGAGAACTGGGAGGAGATGCTTGCATTTCTTGGCACACCTCAAATCAGATATTGTACAGGATAGAATCATTGTACAGGGTGGGGAAAATGGTATATGAAACTAATACCAAATATTAATTCAAAAGCAACAGATTTACAAATCCTGTCACCTAACATCTTAACACCTATATACCTCTTATCTGGAAGAGGTGCAAATTAAAAAGGTATCTGGAAAATATGATGTGTGCTTCAGCAATCAGATTTCACTCTAATGCATGAAAGATAATATTTATAGTTTAATAAATTATACTATAATCAATGAGCAGAAACTAATAAGAGATGACTGGGTCATATTAGATACATATGCCGTGCTTCAAGAATAGTTTTCAGTAAAAACGTTTAAGACTTAGGGAATACAGAGCCACACAGGTTGAATCACTTGATATTCATTTGAATCGTATCTAGGGATCCATTAATTCTTTGCTGGCCAAATTTTAGACTATCTGCCTTTTGGGAATATTTACTAATATTGCTGCTGAATTAATTCTACTGGGAAGTTTTATGAACATACTGACCCCCAATCTCATCCTTCCTTTCTGTAATGTGGTTTCTATTGAATGAAGAACCAAAGGAAAAGTCATTCTAAATTAGTCATTCCAAACAACCAGCTGCTAGGGATAAGATAACCTCATGATAACATTGTTATCTAATGCTAGATTATACCTTACTCCATCACATGGAATGACAACTCAAATCCCCAGATGCAGATGAAAAAGAATATTATGTGTGAATGTATGCATAGATGCTCCATATGTTTGTAATCTTATAACGCAAGAGATATTCTACATTGCAGAAGCAACAGTTATTTTAGAAATACAGTATTTATTTTTCAAAAAAAAAAAGTTATTTCATTCTGAAAACATGGAAGGTTTTCAGAATTGAGAAAATAAGTGGAAACAAAATGTGCTAGATTTGAGCCAGCATTCGAAGAGATGGAATTTGGAGATGGGGAATCAATCTTCCAAACATTATAGTAAGTTATGGTGCGATTCTGCAAACACATGAGCCAGCTTGTAGAACTGAGCAAGGCAAATGAAAACAAACTACAAGATGCCTAGAGTAATTTATTTTACAGTTTTAATTAGGAGTCAACATGACATTGTTAACAACTGAAAAAACAAACAATGTGGAATGGGAAGAAAAGGCCTTGAAAAAATAAGGAAGGAAATCAGGAAGAAAGGAAAGAAAGAATGAGAGAAAGGAAGAGTATGCTGTCCACCTCTCTGGTACCTTAAATAAGGCATACTGAAGTTTAAGTCACAGTGGCAGCATTACAGCACCTGAAAGACAAAAAGATTAAAAGCTTTGAAAATGCGTTCTATGTGCAACCTTTGAATTCTGAAAATCTTAAATAACAAACTGTCTAAAAATATATAATAAAGTCTTACTCAACTTTCAGCCAACAATTTCCAGGGGTTTTGCTCAAAAATTTCACACCTAATGGCCGTAGTAATATGATTCTCTTGAATACTTACGATTCCATCACTTTATTTTCTCTTGCAATGTTTTCCTCACTGGGATGGCAAAGTCACCCTCAATTACTTTTCTCTAGTGAAGAAAGACAATGAAGTGCTTTACATGTGGGGATGCATGACTAGTTATAATTGTATGAGTATTCTGCTCATAATAGACAGCAAGAACAATGGCAACATGGAAGCTTTAAAAGCCCTCATGTATTAAGGACTGCAAACATTTTCAGAAGCACTACTAATTTTCACCACCTGATTATGAAATCATGCTGAATGTTTCAGAAATATTCAGCACCTGGATTTATTATCTCTGAGAACTCCCAGAAAGTACTGAACAGAACTCAAAAATTCACCCCTTGTATTTCTTTCCTCACTAACTCCTTTGTACCTCTTTAACAGATAACATTCTTACTGATATGTATTAGAAAACAAGTGAAGTCTGATTCCTTGCTATGCTAATAAATATGGCTTTACCTCATTGGGATAAATGAACAGTTATTTAATAAATTTGCTAAGAGAAGACGGAATATCACCCCATTTAAAAATGATTAAGTGTGCATTCAACACATCTCCATCAAAACTTAAAACTGCATACCATGAAATAGTAATATTAACTCAGATTTTCATTTGGTGTCAGCAATTAATACTTACACAAATATCCTTCAGAGGATCCATGTTAGATTGGTAACATCAGGAATATCCATATCTTTGACGGCAAGGTTTCTTTCTGATGACTTAAATAATTCTGTCCAAAACATCTTTCCGAGATTATCATCATATTTGAAGGTGTGAACACTTTAGAGCTGGTACCATGTCTGCTTTCACTATTCCTTGGTTGTGAAAGTCCTATGATCTATTCCACAGTGCTGAAATACCTGTAATCGCAGTGTGTAGCCTTTTCACATGAGGCCACTTTTCGTTCCCTATTACATTTGGAATTCAAGTATTGGATTTAATTTATGTCTTAATTGTTTCAAATGCCATCATTTCACACTTTTTTCTGGAAAAAAATGATACTATACCATGTACTATAAATATTAATGCCACTGATACGTTTCTTTTAGAAGATACCACTATTAAACATTGTTCTGTTAGGTGAGTTGCATCTCGTATTAAATTGTACTATGACCTAACCTAATGTTTCTGCAGGTGATATTGTAATATTCTTCTAGAATTAAAATTTATACTCCCAAGAGAAAGATCAACAAAAATAGAGGAAGGCAAAAATATTCCTGTTTCAGAATTATTATTATTTGGTTAGCACCAATTCAGCAGTAAAAATCCCCTAAACGCATATCTGATTATTCTTGTCTCAAATTAACATTTTGGAAGCACTTATAGATGGAGAATTGAACAATATCCAGTTTAGAAACTGTTCAGGGGGAAAAACCAACTAGCTAGGCTTAAAATCTCAAATAAGATCAAAGGAAACCTGACATTGCTTGATACACCAAATTTGCTAGGATAAAATTTGGTACTTATGAATTAGAAAAGTGTTCCAAAATAGCTATGCAAAACCTGCTCCCCCTACAAATTCCATAGCTATCTGGTCATGTAAGCCATCGTTGCCTCATGATTTCTTTAAAAAATAATAATCTATAGATAGGCTGGTTTATTTTGTTGCTGCTTCATTTTTGAAAAAAAAATGAATTAATAGGCTGGAATTATTTAATTTAAAAATTCTAGTCATATTGTGCTTATACTGGTGAAATAATCATATTGCTTGTTGTTTGGGTATGTTTTTGTTTGATTCAGTGGGGATTTGTTGGGCATTGCATTATCACATGCCCTGATAAATCTTGTTTTCACCAAGACATGTTAATGGAATTCTCTGTTCATTTCAATGGAGGTGCCCTATCCCCATATGTCCTATCATTGGCGCACTTAGTTTGGGTCTATCCACTAAAATGAAGAAGTCCTTAAAAAGATTGGGAGACACCATACACATACATATACATAACCCACCATGTGTATATGTGATCTCTTGATCGGGGCAAGGATGGATAGACATTAAACAGAGGAAATATATTGCTATATAATATATTGTTCTAAAACTCTATGAGATACAAAAGTTTTGTCTGAATTATGCAAAAATCTCCCTGTGTTATTTGTTTTGCTAATTTTAAGATTTCCCCCCCATTGAGTTCATGGTCCAGACTAGCCACCTTGCTAAGGAGTGGATACTCCAAAAAAATTCCTACAATTTAGATTAATTCATTTATTAATACATTCAACTGTGTATTTTTCTGGGTCAAATTTGTATTAATTTTTCAAAATATTGTAAACCAAAAGAAATAAGACCAGTTTCCAAGTTGAAATGATGTGTATTTTAAAGTTGAATGGCTTAGTTCTGAGTTTGAGAAGGATGATGAAAGGGAAAATAGCAATGTAACAGTGCAATCCTGTAAAGGTCTACTCAGAAGTAAGCTCCATTGAGTTAAATGGGGCTTACTGGCAGGTGAGTCTATAACTGGAAGCTAAAAAGATGTATTACAGATTGAGAAGTTGGTTTTTTTTAGTAACACAATGCAACATTCAGAAGTAAAGTTAAAAGCAGCGGAAAACATAATATTTGATTTTAATCTTACAAGGAATTTTATCTCTTAACTGTATTGCTAAACCACGGCCCTGATCCAGTGGCTCCATTGTAAATAAGGGGCTCTGATTAAGAGTAATAAGGGGCTACCTTATTGTCTTCAATTTCACGGGAAACACCAAATATATCCATATGAACCTATGCCTGCTATTGGGATAGCCCCTGCCTATACAGAATGCCATGCAAAGTACAATGCAACTTCGCATAAAGGAAATTCTACACATGTGAGGTCTGCTTTACAAGAAACATACAGTATATGCTTTAAAGTATGTGTACATGTGGCAGAGACAAATTCTTGACTCTCTGGCACAAGTAATGACTTTTGTGTCAACGTATACATCGTTCAAAGTGGATGTCAGTTTGAGAGTATGGACTGCATATATACACGTGAAGTGGACCTGGCTGTGCATGGTTTCAAAAGCCATATCCAGGGCATTTATCCTCCCCCTCAGTGAAACAAAAGCAAGCAAACACACACACACGCAAACATTATACTTATTGGAGAACCCATCTACACTACAAAGTGTTCCAAGTCACTGGGGCTCACAACTAGTTACAAGGTTTTATTCTATATGGGTTTCTGTAGAATGATTTGAGTGGCAGTGCTGTAGGTGTACTTGGAGCTCTTGTTAATATGATCAACAAAAGGAAGAGAAACGAGAGAGTTGGGAAAAGTGTAAAACAAAAAACAAAATTAAGTAAATTTAACTCCAGCCACTTTGCTTCACCACTGTAACATAGCATCAAAGTTAATGCTTCACACAACTCTGTAATCTACACATGACTTATCCTCAATTTCTTCAACCTCTATGGATTAGCAGTGTGCTAGGCAATCATATATACAAAAAAACAAAAACAAAAACCAAGTTCCCTGCCTTGAAGAAAGCAGGTGACATACAAAGGGTAAGGAAGAAAAGGGATGCAGCTAAATATATGCAACCTTTATATACATATATTTATTTATAATTAGTATTACTACAAAATGTCAACAATCCCCATCTGTCCTTTCACATAGCAATCTGTCATTGCAAGTTGTGCAATAGGCTCAGTAGGCATTGCAGCAGAGGTGGGTCTCAAGGAGATAAAGGAGAGGAGAGTTGTGACCTTATGGATCAGTTCAGGGAGGGCATTCCATGCATACGGGACAGTGTGGAAGATGCTAAGTTCAACCTGAAATTATGCAGAGCAGCAGTTCTCCAGGTAAAGACTCAAGGTGTGTGTGAGGTGCCTATTTTTGAGACAGAGGCAGTGTGGTTTTTGTAAGTAACGACTGGCTATTAAGCAGGCAAGTGAAATAAGTGATGCAGGACTACACCAAACTCCTGTTACTTGCCACTGCTTTTCATAGGGCTGCTTCATTCATGAGTTTCCTACATGAAGGGAAACTCAGTGCAGAAAAATATGTGTACACCCACATACATTGCTGGGCATGAAAACGGCACAAGTGTTTATTCTGCCTTGGCTACACATGTTCAGAAGCTGCAGCAGGTGGTTCCAAATACAGGTAACCACAGCAGAACAGACATACAACATGACGTGTGTGCACATATTTTTTCCTACCTGGGGACATGCCATGCATGAAATAGCCCTAAGTGATCACCAGTTAGCACAGTAACTTTGAAATAATGACTGGGGAACAACTGGGAAGGGATCTTAAACATATAAAGGGAGAGGGAGTGGGGATGAAGGAGGCAAGACAAAAGAAAGAAATGGGATCATCTATTTCAAATGTGAAGGAAATTAGGTTATTTTATGTGATTTCAGTTCATTATCTAAATAGCTAAAACATATTAATAAATTATTTTTATGACTGACAAACTGGACCATTTACAACTATGTATCCTCCTTTAATATGAAAAGGTGTAGGGGAGAAAAAACAAATTAAAAGAGATAAAATGCTTCCCCTTACCCTTCTTCTTCCGTACTGAAGCTTGAAAATAGAAAGGGAATGAATGGTAAATAAAATGTGAAGAGAAGGTCATTCTAAAATGATAAATCCCTGTTTGGTTCTCAAGCACCAACACTGAGCATACTCAGTACTATGCTTTCCCCTTTTCAAATCACCATAAGCATTAGCAAAACTAGCACAGGCTATGTTTAAACTCTAATTCCGAAAGATACAATCTAAAAGGCAGAATACCATGGCTATGCCGAAAAGGAAGATCTCATCCTAAAAGTTAAACAGCATGATTTAGATTTTTAAAAATATCAGCATGATTGTGGAGGGGCGGTGGCGGGGAATATTTTAAGAGTTTGAATTCAAAGGGGAAAGAATTGTGACAATTTCTTAGGCCATTAGTTCCTGACAATCTTAGTGCAGATTCTAAAGAGGGGCAGACATGAATTAGAGCTTGTGCAACACTAATTGGGAAGCAGCCGTGTAATATTACAGGGGGCACAAAGCTGAGCATGAGCTCCACAGAACCACTAAATTAGTTCCTTGACCCAACAGGCTGTTTCCTCAAAAATAGCAGCCCCTTAATACACAGAATAGCAAACTGGTTTAAAACTGAGGGGGAGTTTTTAAACAAAACAATTCATTCACAAGAAGGGGGACACTGTCATGTATTCAAAGAAAAGAAAAGAAAAGAAAGAAAGAAATTCCACTGGAATACCACAAGGTAAGAAATATTTTTGGTCACAAATCAGAAAATCGTAGTGTTGGACATTCAGCCCAGACTATTGTTGCTTTCGAGTTGGGGAAGAATAACACCCGCCCCTGAAGATCTGAATCAAAGAACTTTAGGGTGGGAGTGAGCTTATCTTCAGGCTGGGATGGGAGAGGATATTTGTAAAGGACCATAAAAAACTCTGCCAAAGTTTCAAGTGGCAGCTTGGCTGCCCTGAGCAGTGCATTGACACTCCTTTGTAATTCAGTACAGAATGCCCCCTGAGAATTATGCTGTGTCATGATGTAGTATTATTCCTAGAGGTATTATTGAGGGTGGTGGTGGTGGGGAATGGTGGCTGTTGTCATTTACTGTGGCAAAAAAGCTTTTCTATTGTTAAAAAAATAAAGTATTCATGACTGAAGTGTAGACCCACATGGACTCCAAAGTTCTTTGATTGCTTCCCACCCATGCACTATAAAAGTCACCAACATCCCCCCACTGCTTTCAAGGGGAATGAATAGCCCTGTGAAAGTGGAGTGGGGGGAGGCTGGTCCAGTTTAAGAAGAGAGAGTACAGAGAAAAGTAGGAAGAGGAACCCATTAAGAAGAGGGACAATACAAATACACTCTCAATGATAAATAGTGAGCACATGCTTTCCATGCAGAAGGTTCCAAATTCAATCCCTGGCATCACCAGATGGGACTGGGCAAGATTCCCATCTGAAACCATGGAGAGTCATTGTAGGCAATTTTGGATATGGACAAATATTTGTACTATGTTCCTATGGCAGCTTCCTGTAAGTCTATCTTTTTTATATACTGGCAAATAAAAAAAATATTTTAAAGCCATTTAGACTAGTTAATAAAACATTTATATGCACAATAGATATAGTTTTTGAACTATTTTTGTTAGACATCACTGATGAAAGGAAGTCGAAAAACAGTAACAACAGCAGCAACAATAATAATTTAAACTTTTGCCATGACTAAAACGTAATTTTCAACTCCATATTCTGTGCAGCATCAACGTTTGCATACTCTTATAAATGGTAGGTGGTCTTTCAAAAGACACCATCACATCTACAGCCTTATCCTATGCAAGTTTACACAGAGGAACATACAAATGACATTAGTGGTATTTACTCCTAAGTTTGCAGAGGACTAAAGCCTTTGCATATTTAGCAGCATTGGTAGGCATGCAGGAATATTTTAAGTATTGTGTGCTCTTTCCCTGTATAATCAAGGGGGTCCTGTTCTCTTCAACACAATTCCAGAAAATCTTGCTTACAATTATGTCATGGAAGTAAATAAGGAAGTTCCAACTCATACAAAGTTTCCTGTGTGCATTCATGGACTTTGAATCACGTTTGGTGTGGATATCTCTAGCTCTTAAGACAATTTTTCATCATGGCAAAGTACTTAATTTTCTATAAAATTATATAACCATTTAATATAAAAATTATGGACGAACAAACCTCAAATTTCTATATTATAATGTTCAGGAAGACATTTTCTTTATTGCCAACTCCTTTAAGGTTATTTATGCCTATCCTTTCAGTGATAGCCTTCTCAAAAATAAAACACCCAATATGTGCAACCAGAAGGCAAGAGCTTTTCTTGTATTTCTTTAGAGAAAATGTGAACTAACTAGAGTTACACCAGGACAGAGTAATTATCAGGCTGACCTGTTTAAAGTGTTAAAACGTGTAGCAATTGATTCTCTCCATAGTTGCTTTTATAGGTCTTAGCATTCTACCAAGAACTATAAGAAAACACAAGTTTTCCTACGGACACACCTAGACCTTCCTGCTGAGCTTATATCATTCAAGCTCCCATTCAAATTTGCCCTCCTTGGCAGGAAGACCACCCCCTGATACTGCTGGCCCAGGGGAATTTCCCCAGCAGCTGGCCAGCAAGCAAGTGCGGCCTGGTAGCCAGGGATGAAGGCAGAGTGCGAAGGGGCCGTAATGATCGCCCCCTGTGGACATGGTGAGCAACCATGATATCCACATGGTTCCAGGATTAATCATTCAGGCATTTCCTGATCTCATCTTTGCTGACACCGTCTTTTCACCACTGCCTAGTAGGCAACATCTCCTCTGAGGGAAGGGAGTGGAACTTGCTCAGCCCCTGACAGAAGCAACTTTTCTCTTGCAGGTAGCTGTCAGGTTCCCAAGGATGACCACTGATGCAAGTGAGCGAGACTGAGCTGCTGTGATTCACTCAAGCCCATGGTGGAGGCCAAGTCTTCCCTTGACGGCAGTTGATTTCAAATTACAGCCGAAGAACTGCCATCCCTTTGAAGTTGTGTGATTTTCTTGGGGAAAAGAAAGGAGCTCAGAAGGAAGGTGCAGTTGTGGCCCAAAGAAAGCTTTTTCCTGAATCTCAAAATGGTTCATGAGTCGGATGCTAAGACCTATAAAGGCAGCATTGTGAGGAAGTCAATTACACTGAGTACTACACATTTTCATAGCTTTAATAGGTCACCCTGGTGATTACTCTCTCTGCTCAGGTGTAACTTCTTGTTAGCTTACAATGTCCAGATTGAAGAAAAATGCCCTAGTTAGCCAACAAGATCATTATTTTTATGGTTCATAAGGGAGCCTTTCCCATTTTTCCATGGCGAATGAACAAGGACTGTGCTATGATACAAAAATTTGTTTAAAAGGATAACTTCATGATATTCAAAACAAGTGAAACAGGAATTTTATGGTTGGCAAAAAAAATTAAAAACCCAATAACTCTCATATAAAATAGCCCCCCATTTCCCACCTAATCCCCCCAAAACCTAAACAGTATTAATTGCAACTGGTCTGTTGTGTTATTTAAAGCAAGAAACAGCACAAAGGAAGGCATATTATCAGCAAATTGCTTGCTGATAATTCACAATCAAGCAATAAATTTAAACGCAGATTATATAAAAAGTAAACTCTTCATTTGAGAAATCTCTGTAATTTCTATTTTAAAATGTTTCAGCTTAACACCCCTAAAGGTGTTAAATAAACAAACTCGATGTTACCTAGAACTCAGTGAGACTGGTAAAGAAATAGTGATTTATATGCGTTGTATGTGCAAAATGTGCCACCAGATGTCAATGTGGAGTCCCTTTTTTCTCTACCTGTTTTCCCTGTTTAAATTTACGCTTTAAACTGAAACACTTCTTTGATGTGTCTAGATCCAGCACTAGACATCAGGATATCTAAAGTGTTTTCTATGTAACGAATATTTGATTACTAAAAGGTAGGAAAATGCTGAACTGTTTTCTTTAAATAAAAAAGACCTTATATCAGAAATATTTTAACTAGAATATTGTAAAAATGGATACTACTACTACAGCACTATTTTTTTCTGCACAAAAATAGGTGAAGTAAAGATTAAGAAATGTTCTTGTTCATGCAAATTCAGGCTGCAATCCTACAGACACACACCTGCAAGTAAGTCCCATTGAACTCAATGGGATTTACTTCTGAGTACACATCCATAGGATTGCACTGGATCAAATAGATAAATAAATAATGGTAGGCCCTAATCCAGGAGGAGAGATTGAAATTATGGTAGGGAACATCTGAGAGCCAAAACCTGCTTTAAGCTAACAAATTGCTTTTGCTGGATTGGGGGCAATGAACACCAATAAGAGATAGTTTCCTTTCAGGTACAACACTTTGTTTCTGGGTCAGCTTTTATACAACGACAGCTAGCAGCTTACCTTTGTCCACTAATGAGAGGCCACAGAAATTTAAAATAAAACAATATTAGATAAACTGATTTCTTAGGGGGGGGAAAACAAGCTAATAAAATATGCTTATAGCTTTAAATTAATGTGTAAAATAACAATGCACATAAATGATAAAACACATTCTGTCGCACAGCTGGAAACAAAATTAAACACAACAAAATCACTCATGCTCATCATGCACACGTGGGAATCTCCAGAAAAGCAACATTCCCATGTAATTTATTTTCCAATACCACGTTCTGTACAGGGTGCAGTTCACTTTCAAACAGTCTTAACATTGCCTTTTCATCTCTGCTATTGCAGCATGCTCATTAAGAAACACTTTCTTACCAAGCTCTTCAAGTTCTGAGGTCATTGACTTAGACCGCAAGGTCAGTGCAGTGGTTGGAGCCCGTTTTGGAGGTGGTGGGGCTTTGCATTAAACAGAAGGACATACATGATAAGAAACAGCACTCACTGCATGCTCATATATGCATTATTCATATTCAACACAAAAATGCATTACTAATTAAATGAAAATATTTTTTTCTCTATGTAGCTAATCAGTTAACTGATCTCTGGAAACAACGAGTACAGCAGTTTCCACACATAGGAAAGGAAGACGCCACAGTATTTCTTTGACATATATTTTATTTTAGGAGATATTCGTGCCGCGTTCACAACTAAGCTTATGCTATTGAATCTTATATGCTTAAAGGTTTATCAAATGAGACGTGGTACTGTAGAAGTCTGTAAGCTCTGCATTTCTACATTACTCAAAGAGCCTCGCATGAACAGCCCATGTCAACAGCACAAATGACCTGAAAGTTATCTGACTGACAAGTGGATTTGACCAGAAATCATGACTGGACACAAGCAGTGAACAGGAGAACCATAGAAAGTGACAGTTTATAATAATGCTTCTAAATCTTTGAAAAGCAATAGGCTATACACAACTTTTGTATTGTAAACTGAACTAAAAAGAAAATGATTGAAGCTGTGTTCATTGATAGTTTGAGTTAGACACGTAAGTCATTGTAGCCTACAAAACAGTGATACATTAGCTGTGTGGAGCTCAAAGCAGTCAAATGCTCCAGAACTTACAACCAGAGATAAATATTTAAGTTGTTACATCCAAAGTGTATCATATCAATTTTTGCTACCCTGCCCAAATCAGCTTAGCTCAAGTAGCCCTTACTACGTTTGTTACTGAAAGTCACATATATAAAACTGGCAGCCGTTTGAGCTTAATGGGTCATGCATTCAAACTGTACAACTGACTTATGCCCTGCTTCAGAAGTAGATAATGGAGAGCAACTCCAAGCAGACATATTTTTGGCCAAGTTATTTCAAAAGGAAATGAGCTTCATACGTAAATGCACTATGCTATTGACCCCTTTTTCACAGGACCATGGCAAATGAATATGCAAGAAATGATCATGTTATAAGAGATAGTATATAGGATTCAAATCAATCAGGAAAGACCCATTAAACAAGCCCCCCCCCAATGATTGGGCTATTCATGCACATTTTCCAAAAGTGCAGAACTGCACCAGAAGGAACTAGTTCTCATGTCAACTGACGTCTATTAAAAAAGAGTATTTTTTCAACTTTGGAAATTAACTCTTCCGTAAAATAATACAACACATATTAAATTGTGGGATGAAGCTCAAATTGTGCAAATGTAACTTAACCTTCCATCAATAATTGAGGTCATATGTACTCCAACTGTGCTGAAAACAAAAATAAAACTTCTGTGCAAGTCTTTCACAATTCCAGGTTCTATGTATTCTTCAACTATTATGAGGTTTGAACTGGTATGTGGTGTTCCAAGTCACTCCACCCCACTGGAATGACTAAAAAATTGAAAAACCATGCACATTAGGTGCTAGGGGTCAAAATGACCTCACAAAATGCTGCTTAATTTATTAGTTACTTGTCATGTCTACATATACGTACTTAGCCTAGAACCTTTTATTCCAATTTCTTGTGAAAAGGAAAATAGATGAAAAAAGTCTATTTTTATATCAAATTACTCAGTTTCCTCAGTATCACTACAAATTATATTAGAGGTCAATAATACCCAAAAGGCTAATAAAACTCATTTACAAACCTGAATACTGTATATTAAACATTTTTATCAGTGAGAAGGTCCTTGTTTACCCAGCCAAACTATTGTTTTCCTCATAGCTACTTGTAGACTTCATTTGAACAATACTTATTTATTCTGCTTTGGGGGTCATTTTCATCTCAATTGCATCTTTAAAATTGCAAACAACCTGCACCTCCCCCTCTGCAGGTGGGCATACTTAATGGCAAATCTCCATAGAGAAACTTTAGATTTTATCTGTTTACATGAAGATATTTGCAAAATGTGTTGTTGAGAGCTGCCTTGGTCATCTCTGCGATCGGCAGCTCAAATTCCAGGTCAGACAGTGGTTGACAAACGAGCAACCCATTTACAGTCTTCTGGACAGAATATAACAACTTTTTCACCAATAAGCAGGAAAAAACCTGACTATGGCAACAACATTGAAAAAACAAGCAACCAGAAATCCCCCCAGAGTTCCTTTCCCACAAATTCAGAAGTGTCAACAGCAGCATTTTTTGTTTTTGCACTTACATATTATGTGCTAAGGAAAGGAAGGACAGTGATTTTCCTTTCTTCAGTGCATGAGAATGCAGCAATCTTAGTCCACAAATACAAGTCTGAGATCATTCTTTCTTATAATAAAACTAAAGCTGGTATGCACAACTATGACCTGATGGTGTCTGTTTAAATGCCTATGTTTGCTTGGAAGGTAAGCAAACCACAATAGAGTGAACATCCCAAAATATTATTTTCCTGATATACTTGTATCTGGACTTGATCAAACTCTGAGCTGAGCATAGACACATAGCCAACCTGCCTGGGATGTCAAGCGGCAGCTCCAAAATTGGTAGAGCCTACCTATGCTGACACCAGAAAAAGGTGAAGGCATGATATCTGTGATTGACACAATGGCAGAAAATCACAGCAACAATGTGCTTTATGTAAATATTCTGCCTCCCATATTCATGGTGTTGTAATGTGGCAATTGTGCATAAGCTGCTCAAGTAAAAGTCATTTGCAACTCACAGTAAACTGCATTGTTATACTCACGTAACAATTTATAATGAGGTTATATGTATGCTAACAACACAAGATTCCTTTGCTCCATTTTGGAGGAAGGATGGAATTTATTTAATCTATCAAATAAATAAATAGATTATATGTTGTTTTGTGTTTTAAAAAAACCTCTGGGATCAATTAGACCCTACACACCATTCTTGTGGATTTATGCATTTTATGTTGTGGGTTTTTGTTGCCCCTCGTTAGTTCTTTTCTTGTTTTACTGCAAAAGAAAACTTCTCAATAAGGACATTTTCCAGAACACTTAGATGGGACCTTCCTCCAGCTATTTTAAAAATGTTTTTCTTGGGATATATTTGATTTCAAAACTGCTGTGATACAGTATTTTTTCTATTAATGGAGGGTTACATATTTCTAAATAATTTCTCATTTACATTGTTCTCTCAATGAAAGGAAATACGATAAACAGTTCAAACTATGAAAAGAATGTACCTTTCTTTCTGGCTGTGTCATCTGGATCAAGATTCCTGGTTACTGTGACAACTTTAAGAACTAAATGATTGCCTCCTTGCCGAATCATGTTCACCACTTGCCTATGGCCAACTTTAACTACATTTTCATTATTAACCTGCAGGGGGAGAGAGAGAAAGGACAGAGTTATACTAAAACACGTGGAAAATAATACTTGATTGTAAAAGATAAAGTAAAACAATATCTATAAGGTTTTGAAGAGTGTTCAAAGAATTTGATTTTGACCTAATCAGCAGCTCCCTGGCTAATCTGCAGATATTCCTGTTTCAGAATTATTATTATTTGGCTAGCACCAATCCAGCAATAAAAATCCCCTAAACACATATCTGATTATTCTTGTCACAAATTAACATTTTGGAAGCACTTATAGATGGAGACGGCTCCCGGCCTCTTGAGCGAGATGAGTGCGCAACCCTAGAGTCGGACACGACTGGCCCGTACGGGCAGGGGGAATTGAACTCCACTTATAGATGGAGAATTGAATCAATATTTTTCCACTGCAGTAGAAATAAGGTACAACAGACCAAAAGATACTATATATTGATATTAGTTTAATTTGACTCATTTTCTTTATATGCTTATAAACCATAATGGCGACTTACAGCCCCCAGAAACATCTATTGCTTGCATGATTTGTAAACACATCGGGAAGCCAAACCATAATCGTGACAGCCCTTTAACGCGTACCCAGACAGCTGTGAGTGTAATTAAATATAAAGTGTCTTTGACCAAAATTTGCTCTTGACACAAATCTGCACAGGAACCACATTGGATTTTTCCCCACAAGTACTTAAGTACACTTCAGAAGGTCTGTACTTTATTTTCATAAAATATTATTGTTATTTAAATTCATTAGTCACTTGCTACATAAAGAATCTCTAAGCAACTTACATAACTTAAACTTCTTAAAGTCAGAAAAAATGACAAAACAAAAATCATTAAATCTTTTAGTGTAGTCAGGCAGGTGGTGGTGGTGAGGAGGAGGAGGAAGAGTTCCACATTGGAGGCCTCTGGGGTCTGACCTCCAGGAAAACTATGGATGGCCATCTTTATTATAGGTTCCAATCACAAGGAGTTTCCTGATGTGAATATCCTTTTCCTCTCTGCAATTGCTAGTGCCACATTAGGGAAAGCCTATGGGTACATAGCTGATTTCCTTAAGAAGTCAATACCAGCTTGGTGATTTAGATTAAGCAAGTGACATGGGAAAAGAGATAAATCTTTTCTCTCCCAGTACCACAGTCTTTATCCAATTCACCCCTGCTTTGGCCACTACTAGCTAAGACTGCTTTTTAAAAGAGATCCAATCTTCTAAACAAGCATCTCAAGAGAAGAGGGAAGTGACAATATGGCACAGGAATATGGCACAGGAACATAAAGACTATAAGCCCGAAGACAAGCATTATAAATGTCAAAGAAAAAGATAGCAGCAGCAGCATACAATAGGGTTGTACTATGCTGAAACTTGTCTTTCAATTTCTCAAAAGTTTCTTCCATTGTGAAAGAGGCTACTATTTTTCCTTCCCATTTGCTATCACTCTAGAATTTCTTTACAATTTTGGTGGGTGTAGGGTTGAGGTTATAGTTCTCTGCTGCTCCTTTGTTCCTTATGTGACAAAGCCCCATGGAAGCAGTTACTTGACACGTCCATTCCATGGCTTTAGTGGAAGCTCAGGAAGCAGGGGGCGTTGGCTAACAAGCACCTGAGATTGGTGCACTCTGATTTGGTTTTTAAGGGAAGTCCTATTAAAGAAAAAAAAAATCTTTCTGCACCAATTTCTTTATAACAAAAAATACCAGAACTTTTTAAAATAAAAAAACCCGTTAGGTGCATGGTACACAGCCGCTGTGTTTTCTGAGTCAAAGACCCGCCATCCACATAGGATTATAATAAAACACGAAGACACATTATTTTAGGTTAATGGGCAAAATTAGGCCACAACTTTATTGGTTACAGCATGTGAGTGGTATTGGCTTAGGCATTGGATAAAACAGCAATACATGACTCCATCCCACTCTGCGGGGAGTCATTTCAGGGGTTAACAACCAGTGGGAGGAGCTTGTTAGGCAGCTGGAAGCTTCCCCATGATGTCACTGGGGGTTGTGCCATGGCCCTAGCCACCAGCAGGGCATCGGACAGGATCCACGACCATCGGATTCCTTTAATGGAATACCCAAAAGAGGAGGGGTAGATGATGGCCATACCCAAACCTCCAACACAGTACACATATTCTAATGCCTAACCGCCAATACTAAAAAAGTTGTGATGAGTTGCTACGAGGTAGGCAAAAAACCAAGAGGCTGGTGCCAATTTGCCAAATTGATAAAAAAAGTTCTACCAGGCCCCTTGGGCAACCAAGGCAACCAACCAAAGTCCATAGCAAGGTCAATAGGCAGAGGAAGCTGACCTAAAAGGGAGGGAGGGTGGGAGAGCCGATGTAAGCAGGAACCGACTGGGGAGCTAAACCCTGCCCACCAGCCGGCCCTATTGGCCAGCTAAAAGGCTTGGCCATGGCAGCAGAGGCAATCAGAGGCACGGAGCCGAATACGCCTCCCTGCTGCTATGGGAAGCTGCTTCCGCTCACAACTCCTCCCCTCTGGGAGGAGGAGAGGTCTTCTCAGCCAAAGATGTCATGATGGGTGCTTTTAAAGAAGCATAGGTACCAGGGAAGACTACACAATACAGACCCACCAGTCATCTTATTTATAGACTCTTGCTAAAACCCTAAGCTACCATGAAAGTTAGGTAGAGGCAACAAAATCCTGTGCCACAGTCATGACAATTTCACTGAAATTTTCTCTTCCCTTTGATAATTTTCAGATCCTTCCCCTTTTCCAACAAATTGATAATGGTGGAAATATACAAAAGAAAATTTCAGCACAGCGGTAGCAAATAATGAAGTAAGTGTGACCTCTTCTGTAGGTAATGCCCAATTTAAACAATTGGGTACCTCTTGGGGCTCCATGCCAGCCCCAAACTGCCTATATTATGTAAAGGTTTTCTTGTTATCTAACATGCTTCTAAAACTGCTGTCCACGACAGAGAAGAAAGCTAGCAACATAAGCAAATGAATCCAGGAAAAGATGGGATTATCTCAAACATATTCATAATCTGTGAAGTGGAATGGTAGAAGGAAGAAATTGGTGAGTTCAGTTTGATGGCGGAAGCCTGGTCAAATTGCCTATATCAGATTATGTGGGGGAGACCTGAATTGCTAGTATGAGGTCATATTCAGCGCCTGTCAACTAGAAATCTGGGTAGGAAGTTGCAATTAGGTACTGGGCAGATATATTTAGAAAACTGGTACAGAAGACTCTTGGAAAGTGGCATTATCCTACGATAATCTTTGTAGTTGGGAGTGTGTGTGTGTGTGTGTGTGTGTGTGTATTCTAGGCTAGATGGGGAGTTTTGATTAATGCATTAATGCACCAACCCACACACAAAGCAGCTGTGATTACGGTTACATTTTTCTTTCTCCCCCTCACCAACAAGATTAGCTGTAAATGGCTCAAGTCTCAGTACAGCTATTGCATCTACTTGAATGTTGAGGTGGCAAAATAATTTCTAGAAGGGAAATGTTCACAGAAGGTGATTTTAATTGATATCCTGTTGCTACTGATGTGGGTTTTTCTTGACACAGGTAGTAGAAATTCAAAGACATTTGATATGGGTAATTTTGAGAAGGACTGAAAAAAGAAAAATTCTGGCATGTAAAATATTAAAGGACAATATATGCAGGAGCTGATTTTGTTCACAACAAAGGAACCCACTGTAAAATTAGTTCTATACCATGTTCTTTGACAACTAATCGTTTGTGCTGCATTTTAGAAATAGGAAAAGCAGCAGATGAAATCATCTAAACTTCTGGTCTAAACTCCACCTAGACCGTGAGGAACTAGATGAAGCAGCCATTTTTGAAGCACTGGGCACTGCATTGGCAGAAATAAAGATGGTGGAGGAAACAGTCCAAGCACTCTTCATTGGGGGATGAGAGGAGGCACAACTGCAACTCATTAGGGACAAACACAATTCCCCCAAGATTAAAACTGGCCAAAATTGCTACACTCTTTCAGCAACCAACTTGAATAAATGAAAGGCAGGGGAAAGCAACTCAAGCAAACACACTTGGTACTGGTAGGCTGTGGGACTTGCTGAGAAGGACGGTGTGAGAAAGCAGTGTGAGAACAGCTACAGCTGCATGACGGACCTCCGGAACGAATTCAGTTCGTAACCAGAGGTACCACTGTAATACAAGAGGATCCACCTGATGTTGACCACAGGTAAGGAGGGCAATGTGGTAGGCAGGACAACTCAACCTGGAGAGGAGCAAAAAGGCTCCACAAACTCTACCTTTCATGTCCAGTAGGAGTCATCCCTACCAGGAATGCCCTCCATTCTCCTCTTGAAAAGGCACACTCTAAAACATACATACACCATTTCTAAAGAAGCAGCTCATAAATATCACACAGTTGAAGTCATATCCCAATGTGAATAGCCAGATTTCTGCCACAGCCACACTGTTACTGAAGCTGCAGAACCAGAGTGGTTAATATTACAAATTAGCATCCCTCACTTATTAGCGTCAAACCAGTCTGATCCAATTTGTTATTTTTTTATCTAGTCATAAGACCATTCCATAACAAAAGTTTAACTACGAAAGCAACATAAGGCAACATCAATAGCATTTAACTCAGACCCAAATGAAGCTATGTATTGTCCCAATGTGTTCTTCTCAATATGTTACATCTGTTTTTTCGAAGTGTTATAAGTAGGCAATACTGTATAAAATAATATGTACAATGTAAATCAACTCAGTTAAAACCACAAGAACTGGTACAGTCAGAATTTTTTTGAGACTTCATTCTAAAACAGCTGATGATAACAAATTCAACCAGGATTTAGTAAAGGCCACCCTCACTTAGTTTCTGCAAATTGTTGAAATAAGAAGGAAAATTATTATACGATGATGCTACTTTAGAAACTGATATGGTTGTCCTGTCCATCTGAAGGGAAGCAACAGATAATTTCTGTTCAAAAACTAAAAGTATACCCCATCACCAAAACTCTAATTCCTAATTTCACCAATATGTAATGCA